TGAAAGAAAATTATGAGGCCCTAACATGAGTTTAAAAGCAGTGTTTTCCAAAAATGATTCGTTTAGAAATATGTCTACCACATTTAGAAGTTATGTCTTCAATATTTCCACGACCAATTTACCTCTTCCACATTGATATTCCCTTTTAGCACGTGAATACAGTCCTTCCTACTTAATTTTCCTTCATCAGCGGACAAGAACAGTTCACATATACCATTGTGTCGCCAAAAATTGACCGCCGCGCAATGATTTCTTAGTCCACATTCGAGTATACATTTGTTAATCGGAACAATATACAATATTTTGAATCGCTGCACATCCGTTTGGCATTGCAGCGTAAAGTTAATATGGTAATTAATTGTGACTCCATCACTTTTGAAAGTAAATGCGTTAAGTGTTTGAAACAGTAATACAAATATTTATTATATACTAATAAATGAAATATTGAGAAATATTGATGAAATAAAATGCGTATTTTCATTTTCCGTATTTTCACTGTAAAAATTTATTTTTCACTGCAGTGAAACATATTTTCCGTATTTTCACTGGTGTCTTGCCGGACTACTTTCTTTTAAATTCTACCAGTACACAAAATTTAAGGGAAAGTTTTTCAAATTTTATCGCAAAAAAGAGAAAAATGTACATAATAAACAGAAAATTCAAGTTTTTTCTATAAATACATGATTTATTTTCATCTTGTGGCATGAAAATTACCATATTTCACTCGTGGCTACCGCCACTCATGAAATATTTATTTTCATACCACTCGATGAAAATAAATCATGTATTTATAGAAAAAACTTGAATATCCTCTATATATTCAAACAGACAATCCATGTCTAAAGTTAATCTTAGAACTAAACTAAAGATAACAAATATGTCGCTTTGACAAGCCCGTCTGATAAAATAGTTTATTTCATTTAAAGTCCGCGATGCAAGAATTTACTAAAGCAATAAAAAGCATATTAATATATTTATAAATATATTGAAGCATGAATTTAGTAATTAGGAAACTTTAAACGTATTTCAAACATTTTCAGCCATGGTCGTTGCATTTCAATAAAAAAGGTATTACTGTATGCTCCACATGTTACGTTAATATTAAACAAGTTTATACGTTGTTTTAATAATATGCATGTCATTTATTATTACTTAACATACGTTAAAGGCACATTATGTCCTAGAAACTAATTAATGTTCCCGTTCGTGGTAAAAGCACGCATATGTGATTTTATAACGTTTAAAATGGTTTCAGAGCATGCTACATGCCTGTCATCTGCGGCAAGTATCGCTGAATGTGATTTTGTTTGAACAAATACAAAGAAATGTAAACAAATTAATATTTTGACTTCCATATAAAGTACAAAATCGCTATAAGATTATGTAAGATACCTTGAATCAAAAAATGTAAACGATTGTATAGGTACATGTCCGATGAGTTATGTCTTTTTGGGAACTTCAATAAAAAACGATCCATTACGAAGTAAAACGGGTCGTTAAAGGTCTTTAATGTAAACATATTATGGTGTATGATTAAGCTTGGGTACCAAAACACCTAGGTGATGTCAATTAATATGGCATGTCGAAATACATCATGCACAAAATTAAACTTGAATAATTAATCTCCAATTAGAGTGATTTTTATAGCAATGTACTTGTTGCTTTCAAGGCAGTTATGTTTAAAAAAAAACATTTTTCAATTATTTAATAAAAATATTTCTTTTATCTATTTTACTATCTTTAATTTTGTTAAAATTCCATTCACGTATACATGCTTACAGATACTAAAAATATAGTATAATTAGTGATAGGTATTTGTCGGGAAAACTGGAAACCAGTTAAGATGCTTGAGGATGTATTGAGGCAGGTATTATTGATCATAATTATGTTTGTATTGAGAATTATTGTTGAGAAATTATAGCTTGACATTCAAAGCTATACATCTTTTTTGTAGATTTTTCCAAGGCATTTGATACTATTTTACACTCTATTCTTATTGTCAAAATGAACAATATTGGAATAAATGGACCTTTTTTTAAATTTTCTGAGAGACATGTACAAGGATAATTACATTCATGTTAAAGTAAAATCTGAAAAACAAAGGATATATTCAACATTTAGTCATTATTGTGGTTCAAATAACTTAATAAAAGTGGAATAAATAGCAATAAAAATGATGAAAACGATTATGAGTATACTGTTAAAATCTAACAATTTGGGCATTATCCCGTCTTTGTCCCCTAGGGGATTTTGCCTCTTCACATAAATACGAAATACGCATGAACCATATTGTTAATCTGTCAGACGCTTGCATAATCACGTGACTTGTTAATTACGAATATATCCGATTTTTTCGGAAAAAATCGTAAAGGGGACAATGACGGTAGTATATATATAGACAATATACTGTATTACTGTTTTATAGATGCCTTAGAAAGGGAAGATTTCCCGGGAAGAGGGTTTTTGGGGGGGATAATATGCAATGAGAAAATGGGGCTTGGCAATCTTTTGGGGGAAAGTGTCTTAAAGTGATGTATATACTGAATGAATGTTATTAGTAAAATACGATATATATAATTATATATGTATATGTGTGTATATAAATAGGGGAAACTTTGAGGGGACAATGACGGTAGTATATATAGAGAGACTGTATTATATATTTCTGTTTTATAGATGCCTTAGAAAGGGAAGATTTCCCGGGAAGAGGGTTTTCTTGGGGGATAATATGCAATGAGAAACTGGGGCTTGGCAATGTTTAGGGGAAAGGTGTCTTAAAGTGATGTATATACTGAATGAGTTTTATTAATAAAATACGATGTATATAATTATATATATTTATGTGTGTATATAAATAGGGAAAACTTTGAGGGGACAAAGACGGTAGTATATATAGAGAGACTGTATTATATATTACTGTTTTATAGATGCCTTAGAAAGGGAAGATTTCCCGGGAAGAGGGTTTTCTTGGGGGATAAAATGCAATCAGAAAATGGGGCTCGGCAATCTTTTGGGGAAAGTGTCTTAAAGTGATGTATATAGTGAATGAATGTTATTAATAAAATACGATGAATATAATTATATATGAATATGTGTGTATATAAATAGGGGAAACTTTGAGGGGACAATGACGGTAGTATATATAGAGAGAGTGTATTATATATTACTGTTTTATACATGCCTTAGAAAGGGAAGATTTCCCGGGAAGAGGGTTTTCTTGGGGGATAATATGCAATGAGAAAATGGGGCTTGGCAATCTTTTGAGGGAAAGTGTCTTTAAGTGATGTATATACTGAATGAATATTATAACAATGAATATTATGATTAAATCAACAATATATAAAAATATTTATATACATGGATGTAGTTTTTAGGGGACAATGATGGTAGAATATATAGAGATACTTTCTTATTTATTATAGTATTAATGGTTCCTTGTTGATTTTCCTGGAAAAAAGTTTTTTTCAGGGGGTTTATATGCTATTAGAAAAAGACGATTAGTTAATTTTTTGGGGGGAGTGGGAGGGGGAAGTTTGTAAAGTAATGTATTAACGGAATGAAATGTATGACTTAAATACAATGAAATTTTGTTATTATACTAAGTTTATTGTTATACATACTTTCATAATGATTATGAGTTATTTCGTTATCTTCTGTCTTTATTTATATACAGTCTGATTGTTCCATCCAAGTATTGATATTGCCTTTGGCTAACATTCCAAGCATATAGTGATTTTCGATAATTGCCGTGTTCAAACAAACGAAATAGAGCACAAAAATGATTGCGCGCAGCCCTGTCTCTTGCCAATGTCATTAAGTCCAACCACTCCAAAAATATATCAGGATTCAATCCGTTCACATATACAAAAGCACACAATAAAATCCTTTGAAAGTGTTTTGTATTAGTAGTCCAGAAAAGTCTCCTGATGAAATAAGGCCACAAATTAGCAGGTCCTATTATATCTTGTATAGTATGCCATTTATCGTATATTTCTGCATTTGTACTCCTACTCATTATGACTTTTTTATGTATAATATAGAAAATTGTAAATAGTTATCACCAATTTCTCATGCATGAACATTTTATGTTCATTATAACATGATGTAATATTGTTATTGATATTTGGGGAACAAATAAGGGTGGTAAGCGTTTTATTTTCTTCTCATTTTCAACCTATATGAAAACATGTATTTATCACGATATGTTATATAAATCAAACATTATCATATTTGGTCATTTCGTTATTGATTTTGAAATATTGTGAAACTTAAAAATACGGAATGAAAGTCGTCATTAACATAAAGATATCTGTTCATTGCATTGTAATTAAACTGTATTACCAAGAAACTGTATTATTTATATACTTTTTTTTTTAATGTGTTTTAAAAGTAAGGATTTACCGGAAGATGGTTTTCATGGGTTTTATATATTGCATAAAAAGGCAATTTGAAATATCTTTTTTCTATATATTTTATAGATAAATAAAAAATGTATTGACGGAATGAATGTCATTGTTAAATTATGTGATATATGAAGTTAAATATGTAACATATGATGTAATTAAATATATATCGAAAGTTACAAGTGTTGACTTTTTATTGAATGAATGTTATTTATAAAAAATTATTCATTCCGTTCCCCATTTTGTTCCTCATTTGCTATTATAATTGTGACCTGAAGAGTAATAATATATTGAATGAAATTATGTCCAGAAAAAGGTATGTGTTGTTTGAGTGAATATTGAATTAATATTATTTTGCCAAACTGAAATATCTGCATAGTGTTATAGGTAGTCAGTATTATATATGTTATAAAATGGCCGAAGGTGGTTCTATAGAGGAATTACAAGAGAAAGTTAGTTTTCGTATTGGTGGTGGATTTAGAAGAAGAAAAATAGATGTAGATGATATTACTGTATCAGATTTCTAAAATCCTTGGAATTTTTACCATCTTTTCATGCAAGAAGACTCTTTTGTGGTGAAATGGTGTATAAGAAATGGACTTTTGCCAAATAAAATACCATGTATTAGTAAAGTATCAAACCAAGAATCCAGTTCTAAATGTCACAGCATAATGGAATTATGTAAGAGGTCGAGGAGAAGTACTGGATTTACTTTAAGATGTAACAGAAATCGTAATCATGAATGTGCAAGTAGGAAGTACAGCTTCTTTGAGAAATCAAAATTAACAATACAAGATATAATGGTGTTCATTCAAACTTATCTAGAAGCAAATACGCTATATCAATGTAGTAGGCAATCAGGCATTCACTATCAAAGTGCAGGGGTGGACTGGGGTAGTTTTATCCGAGAACTTTTTAAAGAACACTTTCATACACATGTACTCAATCGTAAATTGAAGGAAGTAATTGAAATAGACGAATCACTATTTGGTAGAAGAATTAAACAGCATAGAGGAAATCATAGAAAAGGTTGTAAAATATGGGTATTTAGAATGGTAGAAAGAGAATCAAATTCCATTATATTATATCCTGTCAGAGATAGATCTCAAAAAACTTTGTTACCCCTCATTGAACGTCACGTAGAAAAAGGTTCGACAATTTATAGCGACGGATGGAGCGCTTATTGCCCTTTAAATGAGTTGGGATATAATCACTTCTCCGTCATTCATAAGTTCACATTCAAAAGTTCTTATAGAAATCTTGATACAGGGGAGGTAATTCAGGTCCATACCAATAGAATAGAGGGAGCTTGGAAACATGCCAAGGATAACTTCAAAAGTATTGCAGGAACCCAATTAAGTCAATTTGAAGGTCACCTGGCAAAAGTAATTTGGAGATCAGAGGTAAAAGGCAGATATTTTGAGCCTTTCTTTGATTTATTCCGTGACATATACAGTTTGAAAGAACCCCCAAAGTACACTTACCCAACTCCTCTCTTTGACTCATGGGACTTTAACAATGAATGTGACGATGCAACCTTCCGGGAATGGGAAGTTATACCAACATTAGCAGATAACGATACTGACACTGATTCAGGATCAAACTTATCTGAAGGGGATGTTATATCCATTTCTTCTGACAGTGCAAGAAGTGCAGCCGCTGCATATGTCACAAGTGAAAAACAAGGTAGTTGTACTTCAATACAGTCAACTTCAAGAGAAGTAGATGTAGAAAAAGAAACTGAATCTAGTGATAGTGAAGTGAATAAAACTACAACAGAGCATAGAGATGTTGTAACGTTACGGGAGAAAGTTGATCGTTTACGTCTGAAATTGAAGAACACAGAGAAATATAAGAAAAAGCATACAATGAAAGATGATAGTGTGTGCCATTCAGTAGGATATGTTACATTAAGAAAACAGACCAGCAGACATAAAAAAATACTTTGGAAAATCCATATGTAAAAGAGGCATTTTCCTGGTCTTCATCCGATTCAGATTTTGCCTAAATATATATATATATATAAAGCATAAACTAATATATGTACAGTGTATATATGCAGTGTAGTGTAAATAATAACATTCATTCAGTATAAATATTATATTTAAACAGTTTTGACACATTACGGAATGTAACGAGGAAACACGGATTTAACCGACACGGATTTAACCGAAAATACACGAAGTTCAGCATTTGTAAGTATATTTTTCATGCATGCGTCTGCTTGAGAATGATCAGTTGTTTTTACATTTCTGTTATACTGATATATAACGAAAAGAATTAAGAAACCCCCTAGGGGACAAAGACGGGATATTGCCACAATATGTTGGTGTAAGACAGGGAGACAACTTAAGCCCTAACTTGTTCAAGATATTTGTTAATGATTTGCCAGAACAGTTTACAAAAAAATCACGATCCGGTTAAGTAAGATAAGCTTAATATTTATTGTTTATTTTATGCAGACGTCTTGATACTGATGTCTTATAATGCTAGGATCTTACAGTTATGCTTTATCTGATTATTGTACCAACAATTGTTTAACTGTTTAAAATGAATCTATGCACATCCGTTTGGCATTGCAGTGTAAAATTTATATGCTAATGAATTATGACTCCATCACTTTTGAAAGTAACTGCGATAAGTGTTTGAATCAGTAAAATAAATACATATTAGAAAAGACAATTCATGTCTTAAGTTGTTCTAAAATCAAATCTAACGTTATAACATATGTCTCTCTAACAGGAACTTCGGGAAAAATAATTGATCCTTTTTTCTGAAGTTAGCGATGCAGGAATCAAAAGTATATTAATTTATTTATAAATATATCCATCAAACATATCTAAGCATAAATTAAGTAATTAGAAAGCGTTTGATGTATTCTATTGAATATATTTGCCAGTATGCTATTTGCCCATCAATAAAAAGGGTTATTAATGTATGCTCAACATGTAACGTTAATATTTAACACGTTCTTCAAGACTATATATCTTCTTCTATCACTAGTCAATACTTTACAGAAATTAAAGGTGCATTATGTCCTAGAATAATAATTTTCTCATCCATAGTAAAGGCACGCATATGTGATTTTATTACGTTTATGACGGTTTTAGAGCATGCTACATGCCTATCATTCGCGGTAAGTATCGCTGAATGTGGTATTGTTTGGACAATGAAAAAAATATAAACTTTGTACTATTTTGGCTTCCATAAAAAAAAACTCTCTGTTACTGTTATATTTCTATCAAGCAATAAAATCAAACGTGTGTATATGTATATTGCCAAATAATATCGTTTTTTTAACTATAATAAAAAAGGTTTATCGATAAATAAAAATAAAACGGGTCGAAATAGGTCTTTAATGTAAACATATTATGGTGTATGTTTAAGCTTCGGTAACGCAAGCACCTAGCTATATAGGTGATGTCAAATTACTACTGCATGTCGAAATTACACCAAGCATAAAATTAAACTTAAATAATTTAATCTCTAATTATAGTGAATATTAACAATAATGTACTTGTTGCTTTCAATGCAGTTATTTTTAAAACCGAGCGTGTTTAAAACGTTCCATCAGCATTAAAGTAAAGATCTAGTTAATAGAAATAATCAAACGTGTTTCAAAAGTATCATTGCCAATTAATATATAGTAAAAGCATTCATCGAGAGAGTTTGCAAATTTGTCATTTTTACCAATTTAAAGATGTTGTTTACATATTTCGTCAGGACTGTCGCAAATATTCCATCATTTACTACCGATATTGTTAACATATTTCATCGGAACTGTCGAAAGTATCCTATCTTTACTACTGAAATTGTTAACATATTACATCCGGATTGTCGCAAGTATCCTATCTTTACTACAGATATTGTTAACATATTTCATCCGGATTGTCGCAAGTATCCTATCTTTACTACTGATATTGTTAACATATTTCTTCGGGACTGTCGCAAGTATCCCGACTGTACTACAGATATTGATTAACATATTTCATCCGGATTGTCGCAAGTATCCTATCTGTACTACTGATATTGTTAACATATTTCATCGGGACTGTCGCAAGTATCCTATATGTACTACTGATATTGTTAACATATTTCATCCGGACTGTCGCAAGTATCCCATCTTTTCAATGCATCGGTTGTTTAACACCAAAGGGAACTATAGTCAACAGCCCGGCAATAGTTTTCAGCTTGAAGTATGGATCCATCTGGGAAATATTCCGAGGTGTTGTATTTATGCTTATGTGGGAAGTTCAATTCCCATCTTTGACATTGATACCCAAGTGTCGTGACACTAAGATTTCCTGTGTATTTAGACAATGGTACACAATCTGAAACATTTAATACAATTGTTTAAGTGTTTACAAACTTTGTAATATATCTGTTTAGGCTACTTACAATGAAATAAAGCAATTGTCTAGTTCACTCATTTGTCATATGCATGTATTATGGTCAATGTATATACAGAAACCTTGACACAAAGGGGTGAACCCTCCAAAGCACTGATAACAACAATAATGATTTTAAGTAAAATTAAGACTCGGTTTGATTGGGCTTGTTCATGACAGATAATATTAAAGTGTAACATCTCTCACGACCTCCTAACACCGGTGGCTTTAGCGGCATTTCAAATCGCTCTTCAGAACTAACGTGCTGAATTCAATCATCCTAAATGGTCAAACACAAAAAAAACAATAAAATTAGTACGGGGCAACACGGAGAAATATTTTGAAAAGGAATTATCTCCCCCGGAAACGCTAAGAAAAACAATATCGTATGGAAATTGCAGACTTGGTTTAATCTGGTCTATTAATGAGGTTAATGAGGTGAAAATGCACATTTGCGTTATTTACTATCATATATGTACTTTGATATTTTGATTTTAGTAATATACTGCAAACACAGTATTGATTATATTGTATACTACTAGTAGTATACAAGTAGCTCATGCTTCAATCTGTTCTTATTTATTTTGTAGGTTTAGATTTATATCTTTTTTGAACCTATACAACCAAAAAAAAGGAAAAACGTATTAAAGGATTTTCGTAAAATGTTAATGTGTCGCGAAATTTTATACATTATCGCTTGAAACGTTATTAATTTTTTCCATCTTCGGTCAATAAAGCAACATACGTTTATCGCGTTAATCAGACGCAGCGCTAAAGGCAATTATGAAGTTGGTAAACGTCAAAATGTCTTGCCATACGATTTTAAATAAAGTAGATTTATGAAGTTGGTAAACGTCAAAATGTCTTGCCATACGGTTTTAAATATAGTAGATTTATGAAGTTGGTAAACGTCAAAATGTCTTGCCATACGGTTTTAAATATAGTACATTTATGAAGTTGGTAAACGTCAAATTGTATTGCCATACGATTTTAAATATAGTAGATTTATGAAGTTGGTAAACTTCAAAATGTCTTGCTATAAAATTTTTAATATAGTAGATTTCTTGTAAAGATGGTACGAACAGTTTGGGACACCAAAGCCCTGCCTTCGTCAGGACGTCCGATTTACGAAAGTCTGCGACGTGCATCTCCATGAACGACTCAGACTTACTATTTTGATAGCCATAAGTTTTCCTGGCATTCATGAATAAATCCCAAGACGGTTCATTATTGCGTGCTGGAATAAGACAAACGTCCACAACGTCCAGTCATGCGTCCCCGCCTGTAGCAACGTCAGTATGTGGTACGTTTTGCACTGGTGAAGGCGACAGATACACCTCACGCAGCAGGCAGAGCTAGGCATGCATTCTTATCACGGATGCGTCGAGTTTTTTAACTCACGGCAGCAAGAGTCGTTTTTCAGTAAACCGTCGTATTGCATTGCATGACATTAGTTAAAATGAAATCCAAAATCATCCTTAGACATAACAGAACCTATCACACACGCATGCTCAGTACATTTGTCGCATTGCAGGAGGACATTGCGGACATACATGGCATGGATGAAATATATCGGGGTTTGCAAAGCTACCTTATAATATGAAACTCATATCTTAGGGAATTAATTGGTACAAAAAACAGGCACAAATTCTACACTGACGAATAAAAATAATGCTATTCGTATAATTATACATGGCATGGATGAAATATAACGGAGTTTCACAAATTCTAAACTCACGAATAAAAATCCTGTTATTCGAAACAGAAATCACAACAGAAAATATAATAACCTCGAAGTCTGAACTTTGCTTAAAAAGTCTGAAAAATATATAATTATACAAAATATTAGACGCTGCAGATGCAATAACTGTACCAACTGAGCTAGTTTTGAATGATTTCAAACAAACCCCTGTTTAAGATGTTATAGGAGATTATATATACCTTCTGCGTCAAAGCTTGCACAATTTTATTTTCGCTTTTTGCCAATATATCTATAGAGCAGATATTTCTCTATCATCCAAGAATAATTTAGGTAAAATTACTCTATTAAACGACAAAGATTCACTTGAAAGATAATTTAAATATTGATGGTCAGGTAAATTACCTCTTATACATTGCGTTGAATTCCAATACCCGTCGGTGTCACATATAAGCGTATCGCTACCCGCCTCAAGATGATACCCCGTGTTACAGTTTTGCCGCCATACCGCACCAATCTTGTTCACATTTCCAAGTATTGTTCCATTTTCTGGATTCTCTACATTAGAACAGTCTGGAAAGAAACCAACGAAAAATCTAAAAAGATAACACTGTCATTTTGATCGGAAACTGTTTCTTTTTATACAAGTTTCTTATTGAGAGAATAAGTTATAAAAATATTACGCTTACAGGTTCATTAAAACTGAACAACTCTTTTATTATGATAGTGTGCTTAATATTTTTACAATTTCGGAGCGTGTCAATAATACATGGTTTTGACACAAACGGATAAAAACGCTATCAAGTGTTTTATCCTCTACATTTTAAATATAGAATAAAGTTCAATAAATATGTAAATCAAATTATTTTGTGAAAAAATAGTATCTACACATTTAAAAGGCTTTGCTAATCATCATTATACAACCCGCTTTTGGTAAAATTGAAAACAAAAAGGAAATGAATTTAAAATGACTTATGTCTTACACTTGAAAATGCCACTTATTGTAATAGTTTAAATTGAACGCTTGAACTGGTTTTTGCTCCAATTCAATGGTTTAATATGAAAAAATAAAATAAATGAATATTTTATATATCACTTCTTTAAGGTTTAATTCGTGGCATACTGTATAATCGAGCGGTAAACCATAAAATTCTACTTATGACAGTATTTTTATTAGAGTAAAACTAATATGCTAATGACATCCAAAACATGTCATTATCAACGCAAGCAATTTTTTTAATCATTTATATTTTTAGGAATATTATATTTGTAATTTTCCAGTCCGTTTTGTTCAAATATGTTCTTGAAAACTGCTCTTTTCGGACCATAACGCCTTATACTGACAGGTATTTTAGATATTTTTTATCAGAAAGTTGTGCAGCTAATTTACAATAGGTCGAAGCTTCAATTCAAATATTGTTTAATATGCGTTTAATAAAGTATGGAAGGGCACCTAAAATATTCGTTCACCACTTAAACTTGAATGTCGCCTCATGACTTCTACAGCTTAAAAGAAAAAAGAAAAAGTTTTGGTATCTTTTTCAGGTACAGTGCCCCATTTACAAGATCAGTGTGTATATTCTAAAGCGTGTTTTCTACCATTCTCATTAATATATAACGGATGGGCTAACTTACCTTTAAATTTACAAGTACCGCTTTCCAAGTCACATGTTTCACCAGTGCTACACGTGTTACACGGGATCTGAAATTAAACTAAATGTTTAAAACATGTAGCTGCTGAGATATACCGGTAGTTATATTTGATACTAGTGAAGTCAATGCCAGTGTCGGAGTGATATGTGTTGCATCATGTTCATTATATCTAAACCATAGACTCAACCAAGCCGAGTATGACTTTTACAACCGTATTACTCTCATGGGCATCTCCCGTTCTAAAGAATCACATCAGAAGGTGTCAATAAATGTGTGAAAATTTTTAAAAGTTCTCCACTACTATTATTTCATTTCAATGTCTTTATATATGTTTATATCTTTATATATGCCGTTTAATATAATGTTTCTGGTCCTTTCGGAAATAATTTATTCCGCAACCGCGTCAAGTGTTAAAAATTGGGGAAAACCGCATAAGCTGTTGCAACTTTTATCATCTCTCCTAGGCAACCTAAACCAAATGAAATGTCACATTCGAACTGTTGAGTAAAAAAACCGATTACGGAAAAATCTCATTAACTTTGATCTTTACAAATTTCTGTCGTTGGTGGAATAAATTTTCGTAGAGTTTTATTTTGATAAAATTTTCTTTCTTTATTCCACACTTAATAAGGTAAAAAAATACACGATTAAAATTATATTTTTTTTTTAGTTTTGCTAGGAAATCTTATTTACAAATGTTCAAGGCTATACATTATAAAGTACTTGTTTAGTATTTAGACCATTTCGAACATTGCCCGTAGAAAGTCTCTATGCTGAAGCTGGTAAACAAACCTTAAAAAAATCATATATGGATGTTGTCGACATGTGTGAGATACATAATCCGATATTACGTATATTTATATAGCAGATAATGCATTGTAAATTCTTTTAGAACATTATATTATTATTCATCATAAGCATGTGCATACTGAATCGCTTGTAACTTTACTAACATGTGTTCAAACAATTTTTAATAAGAGTATCAAAATGATAATTGTTTGTTTGAATCAATATTTGAAACTCATATGGAAAATGTGCTCACTTAAGATAAATTATTTTTTTATTTTTTATAAATGTAATATTTTAACAGCTAGTAAAATATTAAACTTGACAATTATAAAGCAACTTTATGTTATTGATACAAATAAAATCGTGCAAGGTGAAAGAAAATTATGAGGCCCTAACATGAGTTTAAAAAGCAGTGTTTTCCAAAAACGATTCGTTAGAAATATGTCCTACCACATTTAGAAGTTATGTCTCAATATTTCCCACGACCAATTTACCTCTTCCACATTGATATTCCTTTTAGCACGTGAATACAGTCCTTCCTACTTAAATTTCCTTCATCAGCGGACAAGAACAGTTCACATATACCATTGTGTCGCCAAAAAATTGACCGCCGCGCAATGATTTCTTTAGTCCAGCATTCGAGTATACATTTGTTAATCGGAACAATATACAATATTTTGAATCGCTGCACATCCGTTTGGCATTGCAGCGTAAAGTTAATACGGTAATTAATTGTGACTCCATCACTTTTGAAAGTAAATGCGTTAAGTGTTTGAAACAGTAATACAAATATATATTCATACAGACAATCCATGTCTAAAGTTAATCTTATAACTAAACTAAAGATAACAAATATGTCGCTATGACAAGCCCGTCTGATAAAATAGTTTATTTCATTTAAAGTCCGCGATGCAAGAATTAACTAAAGCAATAACAAGCATATTTATATATTTATAAATATATTGAAGCATGAATTTAGTAATTAGGAAAACTTTGAAACTATTTCAAATATTTTCAGCCATGGTCGTTGCATTTAATAAAAAAGGTATTACTGTATGCTCCACATGTTACGTTAATATTAAACAAGTTTATACGTTGTTTTAATAATATGCATGTCATTTATTATTACTTAACATACGTTAAAGGCACATTAGTCCATAGAAACTATTAATGTTCCCGTTCGTGGTAAAAGCACGCAAATGTGATTTTATAACGTTTTTAAAGATGGTTTCAGAGCATGCACATGCCTGTCATTCTGCGGCAGATCGCTGAATGTGATTTTGTTTGAAACAAATACCAAAGAAAATGTAAACAAATTAGTATTTCGACTTCCATATAAAGTACAAAATCGCTATAAGATTATGTAAGATACCTTGAAGCAAAAATGTAAACGATTGTATAGGTACATGTCCGATGAGTTATGTCTTTTTGGGAACTACAATAAAAAATGATTCATTAAGAAATAAAACGGGTCGTAAAAGGTCTTTAATGTAAACATATTATGGCGTATGATTAAGCTTGGGTACCAAAAACACATAGGTGATGTCCAATTAATATGGCATGTCGAAATTACATCATGCACAAAATTAAACTTGAATAATTAATATCCAATTAGAGTGATTTTTATAGCAATGTACTTGTTGCTTTCAAGGCAGTTATGTTTAAAAAACATTTTTTAATTATTTAATAAAAATATTTCTTTTATTTCTTTTATTATTTTAATTTTGTTAAAATTCCATTAACGTATACATGCTCACAGATACTAAAGAATATAGTATAATTTGTGATAGGTATTTGACAGGAAAACTGGAAACTTTTTAAGGGGCTTGAAGATGATATAAATACTCTTGATACCAGTTCAAGGATTCCTAAAGATAAATTGGTCAACCATTTTAAAGAATAAACTTGTATTAAACCAGAATTTATGCGTCAAAATGAGCACTTTTCCTCTATTTAAGAGAAGATTAACTATAATCACAGTGGTATTTCACCTTTAAATACACAAATTTCGGAAAAAAGAAATATTGTCTGTTGTAAAAGGCCGTAAAAACAACAAGTCTGCTTAAATGGATGGTATTAGAGATGCAATGTTAAACTATGGAATTTCATATCTATTACCATGTTTAAAGAAACTGTTTAACACTTTTTTTACGTTGGACGTTATCCTTCGGAATGGAAGATAGGAATTTTAAAACCTATCTTCAAGTCTGGTGACTTAGAGGACCAAGGAAATTATAGGGCCATTTCTTTAACATCATGTATTGCTAAGTTGTTTAATAGCATTTATATTAACAGACTACAGAAATATTTGGATGAGAATGATATTATACACAATGTACAAATAGGTTTTCAGCCAAAGGCAGGCATTATTGATCATATGTTTGTATTGAGAATTATTGTTGAGAAATTATAGCTTGACATTCAAAGCTATATACCTTTTTTGTAGATTTTTCCAAGGCTTTTGATACTATTTTACACTCTATTCTTATTGTCAAAATGAATAATATTGGAATGATTGGACCTTTTTTTAAATGTCCTGAAATACATGTACAAAGGATAATTACATTCATGTTAAAGTAAAATCTGAAAAACAAAGGATATATTCAACATTTAGTCATTATTGTGGTTCAAATAACTGGCATTATCCCGTCTTTGTCCCCTAGGGGATTTTGCCTCTTCACATAAATACGAAATACGCATGAACCATATTGTTAATCTGTCAGACGCTTGCATAATCACGTGACTTGTTAATTACGAATATATCCGATTTTTTCGGAAAAAATCGTAAAGGGGACAATGACGGTAGTATATATATAGACAATATACTGTATTACTGTTTTATAGATGCCTTAGAAAGGGAAGATTTCCCGGGAAGAGGGTTTTTGGGGGGGATAATATGCAATGAGAAAATGGGGCTTGGCAATCTTTTTGGGGAAAGTGTCTTAAAGTGATGTATATAGTGAATGAATGTTATTAATAAAATACGATGAATATAATTATATATGTATATGTGTGTAAATAAATAGGGGAAACTTTGAGGGGACAATGACGGTAGTATATATAGGGAGAGTGTATTATGTATTAATGTTTTATACATGCATTAGAAAGGGAAGATTTCACGGGAAGAGGGGTTTTTTTTGGGGGGGGGGGGGGGGGGTTAATATGCAATGAGAAAATGGGGCTTGGCAATGTTTTGGGTAAAAGTGTCTTATAGTGATGTTTATACTGAATGAGTTTTATTAATAAAATACGATGTATATAATTATATATGTTTATGTGTTTATATAAATAGGGGAAACTTTGAGGGGACAAAGACGTTAGTATATATAGAGAGACTGTATTATATATTACTGTTTTATAGATGCCTTAGAAAAGGAAGATTTCCCGGGAAGAGTTCTTGGGGGGATAAAATGCAATCAGAAAATGGGGCTCGGCAATCTTTTGGGGGTAAGTGTCTTAAAGTGATGTATATAGTGAATGAATGTTATTAATAAAATACGATGAATATAATTATATATGAATATGTGTGTATATAAATAGGGGAGACTTTGAGGGGACAAAGACGCTAGTATATATAGGGAGAGTGTATTATGTATTACTGTTTTATACATGCATTAGAAAGGGAAGATTTCCCGGGAAGTGGGTTTTCTTGGGGGGATAATATGCAATGAGAAAATGGGGCTTGGCAGTGTTTTGGGTAAAAGTGTCTTAAAGTGATGTATATACTGAATGAGTTTTATTAATAAAATACGATGTATATAACTATATATGTTTATGTGTGTATATAAATAGGGGAAACTTTGAGGGGACAAAGACGGTAGTATATATAGAGAGACTGTATTATATATTACTGTTTTATACATGCATTAGAAAGGGAAGATTTCCCGGGAAGAGGGTTTTCTTGGGGGAATAATATGCAATGAGAAAATGGGGCTTGGCAATCTTTTGAGGGAAAGTGTCTTTAAGTGATATATATACTGAATGAATATTATAACAATGAATATTATGATTAAATCAACAATATATAAAAATATTTATATACATGGATGTAGTTTTTAGGGGACAATGACGGTAGAATATATAGAGATACTTTCTTATTTATTATAGTATTAATGGTTCCTTGTTGATTTTCCTGGGAAATAGTTTTTTCAAGGGGTTTATATGCTATTAGAAAAAGACAATTAGTTAATTATTTTGGGGAAGTGGGAGGGGGAAGTTTGTAAAGTAATGTATTAACGGAATGAAATGTATGACTTAAATACAATAAAATTT